TTGAAGGTTTCGGTCCAAAACAGGGCACATAATGGACAGGGTTTGAAGGCTAAAAGACAGGGCATTTCGCCGAGTACTTCGGGCACTAAAATGAGCACATGCAATCATAATCATCGAGTGCACAAGTGATGACGTCCAAGTCTTGAGGACGGTAAAAAATGGGGTGTCTACAGTTGCCCCTCTTTGACAGAACTCGGAAGTCATGAAATGACGTGAGTGAATGTCAAAGTCCAGAGATGACCCATTTTGACAATACTGAAAGACTTAGACAAACAAACAAAACAGAAAAAAATGGTTGCATCTGTAGGCTACCTACGTATTTCTTTGAAAGGAATCAAACCAACGTAGTTCTGGGGTGAAATGCAAACATATGACACATGAACATAACTTATGATCATGCAATTAGGCTGTGCAATGAAACATTTGAATGCAAATTCAATGAAAAGAAAATGCCACATTTAAACAAACTGAAACAAGGTACAGTAATTCCAATCATGAAAAGAAGTAAGTAAATAAACACGCCATACATGGGAATCACGAGCCAAACCACATTTCATGCAGAAAGGATGTAAGAAAATTATGCAAGTTTAACTACGCGTCGCGCAGGAAAGGCAAAGGGCGACATAATCGCCGGGTGCACTCGAGGTCTCAATTGAGATCCTAATGCGTTGCACGTGTGAGGAGAAAAGGGTGGTGTGAACACCGGGCACACCCGAATGTTTTTAACCAAATGGAAATCCTAACGTGTCGCACGCAAGAGGAGGAAATATGGTGTGAACACTGGGCGCACCTGAATGTTTTTAACCGATTTGCAATCCTAACACGTTGCACTCGAGAGGAGGAAAGGTGGTATGAACACCGGGTGCACCCGAATATTTTTAATCGATTTTCAATCCTAATGCATTGCACGTGAGAGGAGGAAGGATGGTGTGAACATCGGGCACACCTGAACGTTTTTAACTGATTTGCAATCCGAACACGTTTCACGCGAGAGGAGGAAGGGTGGTGTGAACACCGGGCACACTTGAATGTTTTTAACTGATTTGGAAAAAGGATGGTATGAACACTACGCACACCCGAATGTTTTTAACTGATTTTCAATCCTAACGCGTTGCACGCGAGAGGAGGAAGGGTGGTGTGAACACCGGTTGCACCTGAATGTTTTTAACCGATTTAAAAATCCTAATGCATTGCACGCAAGAGGAGGAAAGGTGGTGTGAACACCGGGTGCACCTGAATGTTTTTAACCGATTTGAAAATCGTAACGCGTTGCACCTGAGAGGAGGAAGGGTAGTGTGAACACCGGGTGCACCTGAATGTGTGTAACCGATTAAAAAAAGGATGTGATCCGAATGTGGCACGAATGATTTTAACTGGAACTCCTCTGAATAAACCGTACATACAATATCGTGCATGTGCAAGAAAGAAACTTAACAAGTGCAATACAGTAAGAATGCATGTTCTATGCAAGACAAACAAGCGAGATACAATGTTAATGGCATGTTCCATGCGAGAAACAAAAGCAAAAGCATATTCTATGCGTGATTCGTAACGGAAGCATATTCTATGTGTGAAACAAGAGCGAGAGCATATTCTATGCATAACTCATAGCATGATGCAAGATGTGCATGCAATACCCATGAAATGCATATCTCACGCAAGGAAGCGAAATGAAATGCATATTCTATGCAACAATGTGAAATGCATATTGATGCAACAATGTGAAATGCATACTTATGCAACAACGTGAAACGCATATTCATGCAAAAACTTGAAACGCATATTCATGCAACAACGTGAAATGCATACTCATGCAACAACGTGAAACGTATATTCGTGCAACAACGTGAAACGCAAGTACAAAAGCATAATTTGACAAAAACAAATTTAGTAACAAATTTCGATTTACCTCTCGGAAGAGTTACCATATGTTTAAAGGATACACCTTATTCATGTTGACAAACGACGAACATCACACACCGAAAACATGATTTTGCGCTTCCGTGGAGACGATTTGAACCCAATAGTGAATAATCCCTTAAATTCTTGGAAGCTAAGGACACTAAGCAGCATTAGGACTCAGAGGGAAGTAGTGGGCCATTTGTCGGCCACTGGAAATAGTTGCCGGCTACCTGTTGGCCTCGAAGAAGCCTTATCGGCCACAAAGGTGGCCTGTCGGCCACCCGTGACAGATTAAGGGTTTTTTGGTCTTTTGCGCACGGGTCTTTAAGTATAAGGCATGGGGTCTAATTTCCTCATTACCCCATGCCCAAAATTGTTCCCTTTCTCTTTCTAAGTGCTCTTTCTCTCTAGATTCGCGCTTTTTATGCATTTTCCAACACCCCACGCGAAGTTTATTCGCTAAACCCTCTTTGTTTCCTCTGTTTTGAACCGATTGAAATTTGATTTCTGTGCCTTTTCTTGGAGTTTCACCACTTGAGGCTTATTCTCCTCGAGTTTTTCTCGAATTTTGTGCCTTTTTTCGAGCTTTGACTTTTTCTTCCACTTTCTCTCTCCTAGGGTTTGACTTTTTCCAAGTTTGTCTTTTTTCCTCCGTTTTTCTTCATTTTTCGACCACTTTCTCATCTTCTTTCCAAATGGCAGACGATTTACCTCATGATGGAGCTCCCCAAAGGTCCCACCTGCATTTCCACCCGTTCCCGAGGCAGAGTTTATTCCAAAGCCCGAGCCAGAGCCACTACCACTCGAGATTCGACCCTTTGATCTGGCCATATATCATCCTCGGACACACGTATTGCCGCTCGAGGGCATCAAAAATTTTAGTGCATTCGCACGGCTCGTACCTGAGGACCACTTGCTTAGGGAGCCGGATTCCCACCTTTCTCACAATTCCACTAAGGTATACACTACACCCTCATTTTCTCATATTTACATTGCGTTTCTTGCTTTGATTATATTCTTTGCTTCAACTACACTCTTGCACTGTATTTCTTACACTGGCTTTCATCTGCCTATTCTCATATCTCTGTATATCACCGTTCTAATCACAGGAGGACTCTCGCTCTATCAGAGGCTATGGAGCAACGACTACTAGGGACTGGTATCTTGAGCTTCTTGCTAGGGTCTGTGATATCATAGATGCGGCTGGTTTGGGTTTGTTCTACTCTAGTCTTTCCCACCACATAGCAAGTCAGCCCTTACTCAGAGCATTGGTAGAAAGGTGGTGGGATACCACACGCGAGAGGAGGAAGGGTGGTGTGAACACCGGGCACACCTGAATGTTTTTAACTGATTTGGAAAAAGGATGGTATGAACACTACGCGCACCCGAATGTTTTTAACTGATTTGCAATCCTAACGCGTTGCACGCGAGAGGAGGAAGGGTGGTGTGAACACCCCACGCGCTTTTTACGCATTTTCCAACACCCCACGCGAAGTTTATTCGCTAAACCCTCTTTGTTTCCTCTATTTTGAACCAATTGAAATTTGATTTCTGTGCCTTTCTTGGAGTTTCACCACTTGAGGCTTATTCTCCTCGAGTTTTTCTCGGATTTTGTGCCTTTTTTCGAGCTTTGACTTTTTCTTCCACTTTCTCTCTCCTAGGGTTTGACTTTTTCCAAGTTTGCCTTTTTTCCTCCGTTTTTCTTCATTTTTCGACCACTTTCTCATCTTCTTCCTAGATGGCGGATGATCTACCCCATGACGAAGCTCCGTTTGAGATTCCATCTCTGGTAGAGATGGAGGCCGAGCTTAAGCTCGAGATATTAGTGCTGGGAGTATGCCCTTTTGATCTGGCGACATACCATCCTCGGACACATGTGCTACCACTTGGGGGTATTAGGCACTTCAGAGAGTTCGCACGGCACGCACCAGAGGACCTTTTGCTACAAGAACCGGACTCCCATTTGTCTCATGGCACCACCGAGGTATACATTGTATTCTCATGCTTTCTTCCCTCTACATTGCATTTTTTGCTTTGACTGTATCCCTTGCTTCAATTGCATAGTTACACTGCATTTCTTACCTTAATCACACTCTTACATTGTATTTCTTACTCTGCCTTTCCTCTGCCTATTCTCATATCACTATATATCATTGCTCTAACTACAGGAGGACACTTGCTCTATTAGGGGCTACGGCGCCATGTCCGCGAGGGACTGGTATATGGAGTTCTCTGCTGGTGTCCGCTACATTATTGATGAGGCCGGCTTCGGCTTATTCTGCACGGGGTTATCATGCCATATCGCGAGTCGATCGCTTCTTGGTGTATTAGTGGAGCAGTGGTGGGATACAACCAACTCCTTTCACTTCTCCACAACCGGGGAGATGACGATGATTCCCTATGACTTTGCCATGCTCATGGGCGTAGAAGTAGGGGGTAATCCGATCCTTTACAATATGGACATGGGTAAGTGGGAGGCTGCCTAGCTACACCTGCTGGGAACATGCCCACATCTCTTCTGATCGGCGATGGTACGATATAGCTGGTTCGATGAGCACTTTCGAGGGAGAGAGCCAGAGACCCCAGAGGAGACCGAGCATTACGCTTGGTGGTTTTTGATGTTCCTCTTCACTACCACCTTGTTTGCGAACAAGTGGAACACTGTAAGGCTGTATCTCCTGAGCACCCTGGTGGACTTACCTCAGGTCCAACTCTATAATTGGGGAGGAGCTGGCCTTGCCACACTATATGGCTATATGAGCTCAACATCCTGTAGGAGGGGAGATAGGGTCGGAGGTTATTGGAGAGCCTGGGAGGTATACTTTACATTTTCTATCTTCCATTTCTGTGCTTTCTGCTTTGCACTTTCTGTACACTGCATACTGCATTATTTACATCTATACTCTACGCTTTCTGCATTGCACATTCTACATTCTCTATATCTGTACTCTCTGTACACTGTACTATACATTTTGCTTTATGCATCTTCACTTGTACTTTATGTACACCGTATACACATTTTGCTTTCTGCATTCTGTATTCTCTGTATCTATACACTGTATACTCATTGTTGCCTTTTCCTTGCAGCTTTGGGTATATGCATATTTCCTGACCCTCGCTCCGGAGCCAAAGGTGGAGATGCCCCTCATTGTGTCGCACTCTCATGGGTATGATGACAGATGCCTGCGGAGGATCTGGGAGACTTTCTTATTCTTCTGCCGATATTTCAACACAGTGGCTACGGGGGAGGTAACCCAAACTCATAATTATTTTTGCTTTATTAACAACTGACGATGACTAACAATCTGTATATCCCCTATTTACAGATCGCTTGGCAGCCTTGGGCAATGATGCTGGCTGGAGTCAGGGACCAGTATGCCATTGCTTGGGGGGCATCTCATTTTCAGCTTCTGCTAGAGGGCCCGATTTGCTGAGCCTGGTTTTTAGGCAAGTGGTTAATACACCAGACCATGGGTTTGCCTGAGCCAGTAGTGCCCATGCCTCTTTCAGCATCTATGAGGACCACGGAGAGCCTCTCCTTCCAAGAGATGATCCAGTTCACGGAGGGCTTGGATGCTGACTACTTCCACGGGGAGGGGGATTATTCGATATTCATTTAAACAGATCTCATGCCTCTCTTGACGGGCGCTCGTGCAGGCACGGTAGCAGGTGCCCCTATGGCAGGTAAAACTCGGGTGACGAGGGCCAAGACTAGAAGGGTTCCTTCCACTGGACAGGCTGCAGGTTGGCCAGAGATCCCGACCATGCTAACAGGCTGGAGGCTGGTTGGGATATCATTTCAGATTCTGATTGAGCCAGCAGAGTCCGGGCATAGATACATTCGAGCTCACACGCACCTCCGGTATGTACCATATTTTCCTCAGCTTTCCATTTTCTTTTCGATATTTGTTCATTCTGGATACTGATCCTTCCCAATACAACTACAAGCACCCCCGGGATACACTGAGGGACTGCTCGAGCTAGTAGCTTTGTTCGACAGCATGATACTGAGGAGAAAGACACTGCTTAGTCTCCATGGCATCCAAGTATTTCCCATATTCTCTACCAGCATTTCAGTATTCTCCACACTATTGTGCACATCATTCTTACTGAAACATTGATACTCATATCATAGTATGTATTTTTCCCCTTGTCGTATCACATTGACATGCTGCCTTGACACACTGTATTGTACTTGCACTGTATCTGGCTCATTGCATTCCACCATTTTCATCATATTGTATCTGCAACTATACATTGTATCTGATATGCCAATACTACATCTTTTCAGGTTCTAGCCATACCGAGAGCATCGGCAGTGGTGACGACTGTGCCTGTACCATAACCACCTCCTCCAGTAGCAAAGAGGAGAGAGAGAGACGGGCCCTAGTACGCAGCCAAGAGGAGCGTCATGATCGAGGTCGGAGGAGCCCTTCGGAGCCAGTGTTGAGTGACGATGATGCTGAGACCAATGACTCTGGGGAGGTAGTGATTTCGTAGTCTGAGTCCTCCGAGAGTAGAGATGATGGTGATTCGAGGTCTGAGAGTAGAGGTGATGTTGAGTCAGGATCTAAAGCAGAGAGCGGCGATGATTCCGATTCTGGCTCCGGTTCAGGGTCTATTTCAGACAGTGGCTCTGATGGAGATAGCTTTGAGTCTCCCCTCCAGGAAGAGGACGAAGAGGGCCTCTCGAGCCTGAGATGACTGGCACTGATTTATTGGTACTTTTCTTAGTTTCTTTTTGTTAGTAGCATTAACACATGTATAGTTTTAGGAAGTTTCTGTTTTGTTTTAAAACTTGCACTCCTCTTTTGTAAAAAGCCATGATCGGAATAAAACTGACAGTTTTTATGAAAAAGTGTTGTCATTTTTGCATCACGAGCACCATATATATGCATAAAATGGGCAAGGAATTGAAATGGCCAAGAATGTTTGATTAAAAAAAGATGTTTAATTGGGTAATGAACCAAATAACAACCAAAATACAAAATGCAATATACAACTCGATAAGCAACACAACAACAACTCGATAAACAAAACTACTCAAATACAACTTGACAAGCTTGTTAAAAAAAAAAAACAAAAGGACTCAAAACAAGACCACCGAAAACACAAAAGACAAGACAAAACACAACCTACCCCCACTTTTCAGCACATAAGTGAATGGCGGACCAAAAGGGAGGCTGCCAGCCAGAGGAGAAAGGATGTCGGCCACCAACAGTGGCTTGCTGGCCACCAAAAGTGGCCTGCAGGCCATCAGAGTGGCTTGCCGGCCACCAATGCACAGAACCTCCTAATTGTTGACAGTTGGCTTCCACTCACTGCCTTATCTTCTACAAAAGGTTGAGCTTTGTGATTTCTTCATTTCAGTTGTAAATTCTTCACAAATGAAGCCATTTTTCATCGAAAAACTCTCGAATTGGATTGTGACTTTAGATGGCTCAGAAAAGGTAAATTTTTGGGGTTTCGGCATAAATGCACTTTTCCCACTGAGCCGTTCCCCGCTTTGTTTTCCGTTCTTTCATGCCGCAGCTAGATGCTGGAACCCGATTACACATGTCTTTAGCTTCAGGAGACAAGAGATATACCGACAATTGAAGAATTTCAGATGTTAATGGAAAACCGGTGCGATGAAGAAATCATACCTCAGCCCCGTTTTGGCCATATCCAAGCTTTGGGAAGGATGTGTCGGGTCACTCTACATGAGGCTCGATCCTTAGTTCACAACGGAGAGTAGGATATCCTAGCTTAATTCATCGATTTTCTGACGTTGGTGACCAAGGTAGCCTTCTTTGGGAAGGCTTTCGGTAACACGCCCTTTGCTTATGTATGCTGGCTCATTTCCTTCTTGCCCCTAGTTTCGGAGGGTCTAGCATTCGGCTAATTGAAGTGGCCTAAGGTTTGAAAGAGGGCAAGAGTTGCATCAGCTTGGTACTGGCTGAGACTTTGATCAGCCTAGACGCCTTCTATTGGCGAGAGACTAGCAAATTTGCAGGAACTCCACTACTTCTTCAGGTAATGTTTCCCACCCTTCCTCATATGCATTTCTCACATCGCTCAGCACTCATGCTCTGTTTTCCTCTCAAAGCCCTTTTCTCACTCTTCTCTCAACATATATCTCTCTATTCTTTAATCTCTATTTTCTTTCATCCTTCCCCAAGTGTGGCTTATGGACAAGCTGAACGTAGTGGACTCTTGCCCCGCATACTCAGCTCGAGCGTACTTCTTCTGCCAACAGCTAGTGGATTTCCCAAATGAGGGATGATGGTGCCACTGGATGTGTAACAGGTCTGCTGCTGACATTGCTTGGTGTTGCTCCTGGCTTAATCTGACTGAAATGAGCTACAGCATGACTCGGCAACCTGGCATTCAGCTGATCGGCCTTACACACTGTGTATTCTACTTCCCTTTCAAGTTTAAGCGTCAGTTTGGACATGATCATTCTTGCCCAGAGGAGGGGTAGAGTACCCAGTTTCATTTCCCATCCGAGGTTCATATTTGGCTAGGTACCTCACTGCTTGGAGGATGAGAGAGCTTTTGGCTCCTGCCCCTAGTTTCAGCTGCGCCCTTTCTGGCGAGTGCCTGCCTTGGCTCGAAGATGAGGCACACACCAGGCCCACCTTGGCATCAGAAGCTTCCATAAGCACAAGTAGGGGACGCAGGAGCCCTGACTCATCTATGCCCCTAGTTTATTATTTTGATCTTACTTTTCAAGTTTTATGAATGTAATAAAAGGAACTTTGATTTGTATCGAGAATTGAAGAACTTTGTATTGAAATCAATGAAATTAAAGTTATGAGTACTGAAAATTTTCCTTTTGGTCAAAAAATGGTCCAAGTAGTAAAAGGTAAAATTTGAACAAAATCAACTTTTATCAAAACTTTTCAAAACCATTTTTGATAAGGATCACCACTTGACGCACACGGAATCCATCCTCGAGATGTACAACCCCGAATCCAAAGATCACAAATTGCCCCTTGTTTGAACACCACTGTTCAGCATTGTAACCGGTTATTCTCTCAGAGTGAAGATCATAATCGAACTCTTAGGTAAAGGACAGACAAAGATGACCTAATCAGACACATGGACAGAACAGTTGAGTTGGAGGTGTTTACGGCCGGACTTCAGGATGAAGTTGCCTACGTATCCCAAAGATGGAAATCAGGCCTTACGTAGTTTGGTTCGGGTTCACTCAAGTATTAACACTCTCTTTTTGTGCTCTAACTTTTGCCAAGGCCGCCCTTTAGGGTTTTCAACCTTGCAAGCTTAGTTTTTCTTTATTTCTAATTTTTGTGCTCTAACTTTTGCCTAGGTCGTCCTTCCGAGTTTTTGGCCTAGCGAGCCTCTTAGGGATAATATTTCTTCAACTTGTCCATGTTGATCGGTTAGGAAAATTCCAGGCCATCCATATCCATAAGAATAACAGCTCCACTCGACCAAATAGTTTTGATGATGTAAGGACTAGTCCAATTGGGTCTGAACTTGCCCCTAGGGTCATGGATGGGAGCTCGGTTGTCTTTCAACACCAAATCCTCTTCCTTAAGATTCCAAGACTTAACCTTCTTATTAAAAGCCTTGACAATCCCGCATTGATAACCCTGAACATGGTACAATGCTTTCAACTTTCTCTTATCAAACAACATTAGTTCTTCAAACCTGCTTTGTTGCCAGTCCGCCTATGCTATCTGACACTTAGCTATAACTCGTAACGACGAGACTTCTATTTCAATTGGCAGAGCAACCTCCATTCCATAGACAAGAGAATAAGGAGTAGCCCTTGTAGATGTCCGGATTAAAGTTCTATAGCCCCAGAGTGCGAATGGAAATTTGTCTGATCAGTCACTGTAGGTCTCAACCATTTTCTATAAAATAAGCTTGATGTTCTTATTGGCGGCCTCAAAAGCTCTATTGCTTTGCGGCCGGTATGTAGATGACTTATGAAAAGCCACATTGTATTTCTCCAACAAGTCTATTACCTTTTTCTTGAAATGGAAGCCATCATCTGAAATAATCTCATTTAGGACTCCATAATGGCAAATGATGTTGTTTCGGATGAACTTAGCCACATGCGCTGCTTTCAACACTGCGTAGGACTGAGCTTCCATCCACTTTGTAAAGTAGTCAATTGCCATTAGAATGTATTCATGCCCATTTGACCCTTTTGGTGTGACTGCCCCAATGATGTTGATTCCCCAGACTGAGTAAGGCAATGGTGAAATCATATTGTACAGCTTCGACGGCGGGATGTTTATGCCATTGGCATGGATTTGGCATTTGTGACATTGCCGAACAAAACCAATGTAATCCTCCTCCACAGTAGACCAGTAGTAACCTTGCTTGAGAATCTTCTGGGCTAACATTACTCCATTCATGTACGCTCCGCACTCTCCCCAATGGATGGCCTCCATCAGGCACTTCGACTCCTCTACTTCGACACACAACTTGTGCATCCCCAGATGACCTATCTTGTACAGTTTACTGTTGCAGATGATAAATTGAACGGCCATCTGCTGTATTGCCCTTTTGTCTTTGGCATTTGCCCCTGGTGGATAAACCTCATTTTCTAAGAAGTTCTAGTTATCATAGAGCCAAGGGTTTTGATCTTGTGCTTCATCTATTATGGCGATGGTCTCATAGGTCAGTGTGTATCTCTGCTCAATAATGATTGGACGCATTAGGACTCTGAGCGGGATGTCTATCATAGAAGATAGAGTTGATCAAGCATCAGCGAACCTGTTATTCTGTCTCAGTAGATGTGTGAAAGTCAGCTTTTCAAACCTAGGAATCAGAACATCCGAGGTCTGGTGATAAATCTTCATCTTTTCTTCTTTGACCTTCCAATCTCCATTTTCTTGAGACACAACTAGGTTTGAGTCCTCGATGACGTCCAACCTTTTTGCCCTTAGTTCCAGGGCGGCTTCCAAACCAACGATACACACTTCATACTCTACTTCGTTGTTGGAGACCTTGAACCGGAGTTTGAAGGCTAAACGTACATGGGAATTGTCTAGTGCTATCAGCAACACACCTATTCTATAACTATACTGATCAGACGCTCTGTCAGAGTACATTGTCCAAGTCTCCTCCTCGAATTGTTGAACAAGTATTCTATTACTTCATCCCCTTCTATTGGGTGATCTGCTAGGAACTCTGTTACTGCTCTCTCCTTGATCGACTTGCGAGTGACATACTTCAGATCAAATTCAGAGAGAAGAAGCAACGAGCTAGCCTACCCGTAAGCGCTAGTTTCTCAAAGAGATATTTGATGGGATCTAATCTCGAAACCAAAATTACGGAGTGAGCTAACAAGTAGTGCCTTAACTTCCGGGTAGCCCATACAAGGCTAAGCAAGCTTTCTCTAAAGAAGTGTAGCGGATCTCATAATCCAGCATTTTCTTGCTCAAGTAGTAGATGGCTTTCTCCACATTATCCTCAAATTCCTGGGCAAGCAGGTATCCTATTGTTGTGTTCGTTACTGGCAGATACAAAATCAAGGGCTTTCTCGGCTCTGGCGGCGACAACACAGGCGAATTCTGAAGGTACTGCTTGATTTGCTCAAAAGTGAATTGACATCGATCATCCCATCAGAATTTCTTTCCTTTCTTCAGGAGACTAAAAAGTGGTTCACAAGTCAAGGTTAATTTTGAAATAAACCATCTTATGAATTGCACTTTACCTAGAAAAGCCTCGCACCTCCTTTTCAGACCTTGGTGTAGACATCATATTTTTGACCGACCTTAAGACTCAGACGTCATCGATTGAGCGCTCGATGATAGTGCATGTTGTGCTCGTTTTGAGGTTTTAGAGT